ATAAATTATAGAGATTTTTACATTCCTATACCAGATAGGAAACCTTTTTACCCTCAATGTTTAAGGTTTGACTTAATTACACTTAGTATACCAAATTATCATTTCTATACCATAACTAATTAAGGGTATAATTAATGAGATATTTTTTACTCCTTAATTAAAGGGTTTCCGTTACCCGCCCAGTATCTCCACTCCTCCCTTACTTTCTCTCTCCGAATCCCTCAGCCCCGTACCCACGTTCTTTTACCCATACCCAGTAAAAAGGCTGTGGAGGATTTGAGCATGTTTAACCAATTTCTATTATTTTCATTGCCATAAACGACGAGATTACAGTAAGTTTATAAATAAAATAATTGTGGTTTGAGTGATAATGGATACTGGTAGCAGAGGCGGACCGAAGATTTGAAGGTGACGAGGGCACCATTATTTTTCAACATAGCTATACATATCTCTAGCTTTAGCATAGCAGTTTCGTAAGAAGTAACAAGAGCATATAGGAGAATCACATAATTGTAGCATAATTGGGATTTTCGACATAATTGCGATTTTTGCAGAAGATTTGTAGAAGTTTTAGTCGTTTTTGATTTGTGAAAACAGAAAACAAAGCATCTACAATCAGAATACAAATAATCTACAATTTATCTACAAATTGGGTATAAACTTCAGCTCTAGAGCTGAAGTTTATGTTTGTAACTGGCGAACTTCAACTCTAGAGCTGAAGAGCTGAAGTTTTTGTTTTGTAACTGGCGAACTTCAGCTCTAGAGCTGAAGTTATTTGTAGTTGTGATGTTCTGCCTTTTGTAGTTGTAGATATTTTGTGGACAGAATAGTTTTATTGCTGTATTTTACTGTTTGTAGTGTAATTGTAGTTAGTTTGTAGTTTATGTAGAACATTACAAGATTAATTGTAGTCTAAAATGTAGATATAATGTAGACATGATTGTGGATGTTGTGTTGCCTGTTTGCCCTGTAACTGTAGGTAAATTGTAGTTATTTTTATATTAGGTACTTAAACTGTAGGTAATTTGTACATTCACTGTAGGTAAACTGTAGGTAAATTTGTTTAATAATTGTAGAGTTTTTGTTTCTGTTTTTGTAGTTAATAGTAGTTATAATGTAGGATTCATGTATCGCTTCACACCATCTATCACAGTATGGATATGATCTGTTGAAGCCCTCACCTAGAATTACATAACAAACAGCAATAAAAATATTTACAATCATAAAATAGTTTATCTAATATTTATCTACAACGTATCTACAATTATATCTACAAATTATCTACAATCTACAAATTAACTACAATTTGTCTATAAATTATCTACAATTTCACTTTGATATTCCTCTATGACGGGAGAGGCTGGCATATCCCACACTGTAGTTTATTTGTAGATAAATGTAGGTATTTTGTAGATATTATCGTAAAATCAGACTTCCATATTGAAATCTCGTACACTTATGAGTAACGGATACAATCCTAAGTTTTTATTCTCCTTTTTTGTCTCCATATACACACTAACCCCCATATTGTTCCTAATCTCCATTGGAGGACAATTCTCACTCACAATGTATTTGATTTCTACAATTTTTTCTGAAGTATCAATCATTAATTGCTCTGCAATTGTAGAAATCAACATACTGTAACTTGCATCCTCATCGAGCACAATGCCATCAGCTTGAAAATCTCTAAATCTGCCATAGCTATCCCAATTTCCATTAAAATGTAGCATGATTGGGATTTTGGACATGATTGCTTGTCGTTGCAGAGTTATTGTTCAATATTTTGTCGCTTTTTTGATTTTTTGGATTAAAAAAAAGACGAATAACAGAGAATCGCAGAATTGATTTCAACAATTTGACTTGAACTTTTTGCTTAGGAATTGATGAAAAAAGTCGACAAACTGAGATTTGCAGAACTGATTTCTACAATTTGTAATTGAGCTTCTGATTTCGATGAACTGATAGTTTGATTTGTAGCGACGAACTGATATTTTGATTTCGAGGAACAGAATTTGTTTATAAATTGAAGATGAGCGATTTTCGTGATATGATATGATCTTATTCACGCCAAATCTGTTCAGAATATTCTGCTCCTAAAATTTAGCTCGCAAAAATAGGAAGATACAGCTGCTATTAATTAGCTTTTAATGATTGGTACAAAAACTGTAGAAATAATGTGGACTGGGCGGGTAATTTAGGAATTATGCACATTTTTGGTAATAAGGTTTCATATATGGTATAGGTAAGAAAAAATCCCATCTTTCTTTTTAGGGATTTTTACTTAGTTATACTATATTAGAAACTTATTTACATATGTTCTCTATGTTTTGCAGTTTTTAATAAGTATCTAGGTTTTTCTTACAACTTGTATACATTGCTTCTTAAAAGGCTCTCACCCCATTACTAGTGCCTTCAATTAAGGGATTCAATTACATCCTTTCCTTTTTTCCCTTTCTCATCTTCTCTCTCCTTTTAAAAAAAGTCAAAATCCCTTAATCTACGTCCAGAATCTCCATTTTCTCTCTTCACCATTGCCTCTAGATTTATATTATTAAAAAATATTCAGAAATTGTATGGTAACTGTATCATAATTGTAGTTGAATTGTATCAGATACATCAATGCCTAAAACATAAATGTATCATATTTGTATCACAATTGTATCTAATTTGTATCTGGTATATTAATACCCAAAATAATACCTGATACAATACTAATAAATTAATATACAATTATCATATTTGTGATACAAATTGTAAAATTCGTCACAAATTCACAATTGCTCATAACAATATACAATGAATATACAATTTTATACATTTGTAATACAATTCCTACAACAATTATGATACATATACAATTATAATACAATCACGATACATTTATGAATAATTATGATACAATTATGATCTTTATTTTCCTCAAGTTCCAATCACAAATCTACACTAAATATTTAATATAATAGTATTATAATTGTGTTAGTATTGTATCCACAACTTGATTGTAGAGCAAAATTTCGAATTTCTTTTGTATTGAGATTTTGGATTATTGAAAGAGAGAAATCGGATATCCAAAGCTTTGGAAGAAGAAAGAATCTGCAATTTGGGGGGGGGGGGGGGATAACAGTGGATGATTGAAAGTGAGAAACCGGATATCAAAAGCTTTGGAAGAGGAGTGAGTAAGCGAGATTTTTGGGTTAGAAAGATTTTGGGCATCAGTGGGTAAGAGAGAATTCTCACGGTGGGTAAGTACAAAATTGGAAGATATTTTTGTAATCATTTTGGAAAAGGAAGAGAATCTTAAATTTAAGGGGATTATATGTAACTGATACGCTATATTTAAGGTATGTTGCATTTCCTCTTTTTATGATTTTGTATAAAACTAGTAAATATAGGTATATAAAGTAATTAACAAGGAACCTAAATAAAGATAGTAAATATATTTCTATTATAGTATAGCTAGATAAAAATCCCTTCTGTTCTCGCCTATACTCAAATGAGTTTTGAGAGGAAGAAGAAATTCACAGTGGAGGGTGCTTAGATTTAAGGAGTGGCGGCTTTAATGTTTCCTAGTATTCGATGTAGATATTTGTCCTTGTATGTGCTTTACAATAAGATTTACAATTCCCACTCTTAGCTTAGTCTTTTATTTAAAAGGAAAAGACTAGCTAGCTGTGGAGCAAATAAGCACAAAACAGAAACAAAAAAGGAAAAAGATAATAAGGTAACAGGTAACGAGTCATGTAGGCGAAATTTGCAGAAGAATTTTATATACGCAAAGCGGAGGATTTTCCGCTGAAGCAACTTCCCGACGACAAGTTATGTTGCGTACTGGTTGAGCCGCCTTTTATTGGGATTCTTGAATTTCAACAAGTAGAAAATCGCTTGGTAATGGAATAATGAGATCCGAACATCTGGTCAAGAAGGATAACAAGGACCATGCTTTCTCAATGAAATTCGATAGTACTTGTAAGGATTACTCGACCATAGTTGTGGACGATTCCAAGGAAATACCTAAGAAATCAGCTTGTCGTATTGATAACACTTTCACTCATCAACGTCTTTCAAATCAATTTCCATTTAATCCTNAATAGGAAACGATCCCACCACACCAAATCGGTTGTTTCAAAAAATAGGACTTTTCATTGTTCCGGAACAATGGATTTAACAATACAATACAACCAATTTTAACTAAACAATCAAAACAAACATTGTTCGGTGAAAACAATACAATACGATACAATAGGTAACAACCATCCAAACAAGCTGTTAGTGTTCGTTTGATTTGAAGATAAAATAATATAACTATTGGTATTGGTATAGACATTGTTTGTTTGTATGTTGAGCTTGTATAGCTAACCATGCTATAAGTTAATAACCCAATTGGTGTATTACTTCATACCTTATATAACATTGTATAACAATATGTGAAATAAGTTATACATGGATTAAAACTAAAAGACAAAAATACGTTTTGTCTTTTCCTCAAAATCAACATCAATCCCTTTATATCCCATTTTTAGTAATAAAAAGAAAAAACATCCAATAAAAAAATAACATTTACATTGTAATTCCTGCATAACTAACCCCTGCATTGCTAATCTATACGTAACTTGTTGCTCAACCAAAGGATTAAAAGTTCCCAAAGCAAGAAAGAACGACATCGAAAAGGTTTGGAAACGAACAAATGCAATTCTTTCCTATAGAGTGGTGGTGTGCAGCAACTTGTGCCACCTTGACTAATTCACTAAATATCTAAATGTATCAAGTCCACTAAGCGTGAAGACTCATTTATTCCTGTAATAAGACTCATTTTCCACTCAGTTTTCAGATCCAAACCAACGACAATGGCTAGATCCTTGACATGCCTGGCTGATCTTAAATTCAATCTTCTTGTATCTATGATAAAAATCAAAATTTGAATAATAATAAATAAAGGAATTCTAAGGAGGCACGAGTCCAAGAGAAAGCCAGTTAATGCAAAATGAAATACAGGCCAAATAAAGGTTTCGGATGGTAAGGCATATTCACAAAGGATATAATTCATATTAGCAGTCAAAGGATGATCTCTTGCCCCAATTAAGCTGTTTTTACAAGAGCGTCTGCAAAATACTCTCAGTTGTCCTGAGATACACAATTCATACACATTTAATGGAACCTACAACTAGCACTTGAGAAAGGTATTCCCATTGAAACTGCAGTCTACATTATGCATCATTCCATTGAAGACCTCTGTGATACATATTGTAAGGGAATGATTGTGGCGAAGAATCTCAACAATACTCTCTTCAAGAAAGAGTTACGAAGTTAAATGGAGTGACCTTCGCAAGAAATATCTTTACCAAAGAGTTCACTTATTCCTTTAGCAGGATCCTTCTGTTTTACAAGTGACTCTCCAACTAGCACCTACAAAATCCAGTGACATTTATGATATATGCATCATATAAAATTGAAAAAATGGCATACGAAAACAACTAACTGATAAATTGAATCTAACATAGCAGATAATGGGCACAAGATTTGTCAAATGAAGACAAAAGGAACTAAGTGAAATAACTTCAGAATAGCAATGACTATGTATCCTAGTATCTACTGTGCAGTAACCACATGCAGTCCGCAGTAAGGATTTCAAGATTATTAAGACAACTTACTGCTTTAACACCAGCTTCTTGTACATAAGCAACATCAGCAGGTGTAAAGAGTCCAGACTCTCCAACCACCTAGAGAATTAAAGTATCAAGAAACATCACAACTTATTGAGAGAACAAATTACAAAAGAACAATAATTATAAAATATATGCATAAAAGTTCTTACAATTATGCCCTCCTCATGGATCCTTTTCCCACGTTCTCCTTCAAGAAGGTTTTTGGTATTGCTAATGTCCACCTTGAATGTTCCTGATAACATAAGAAGTTAAATTTATGAGGCAATAATCCTTGAACAATTTATGCATAAAGATGACATGCATGTGCCTATACTTGGTTTACTATGCTCGTACAGTTTTCACCTATGTTGCTCGGACTCTCCGAAAATGTGGCCGGATACGTGTCGGATCCTCCAAAAGTAGTGCATTTTTGAAGGATCCGACACGGGTGCGGCTATATTTTGGTGAGTCCGCGCAACATAGGTTTTCACTAGCCCTACAGGCAGCCAAACAATCTGTCTCCTGGCAATAATTGAGATGTATGCAAAACAAGTAATGATCAATGAATTGTGTAGAATTAATAAAGCAAATACCAAGATCTCGTTAAGTTGACACGCATGCGCCTATACTTGGTTTACTATGCTTGTACAGTTTTCACTTGCCCTACAGGCAGCCAAACAATTTGTCTCCTGATAGTAATTGACGGCATGTACGCAACCAAGTAATAATCAATGAATAGTGTAGAATTAATAAAGCAAATACCAAGATCTCGATTATTGATGCCAATAAGCTCAATCCCATCGATTCCGAGGACGCGATCCATTTCCCTCTCATCGTGCACCTAGAAGATGAACAACCAGGAAAAACAATTGAATATGCTAAGAATTTAGGAAACAAATAGAGGCTGAGAAAGAGATGTTGTTTCTCTTGAAAAGGAAACAGAATCAAGGCAACAAAAGATGAGAATCTCATCCATCAGCTAAGAATGTCCAATTACATCGAAAATACAGGGGAAATCAAAGCAAACATATGCAGCTACAGAAGAGCTTTCGACATGAAAGAAACTTGTAGCAAACATAATACATCATGAATCATTTTACCTAACTTAGAAAATGCAATTTCAGTTTTTTCCGCTTCTTGGTTAACGAAATGTAAAACAAAAGCCTGGCAACATGTCAATGTATCGAAGATAAATTTTCCCCTTTTGGCGCAAAGGATCAAAAACTAAGAGTGAAGAAATTAAAATTTTACCTCAACTAGCGCCGTCAATCCAAGTAATTTGCAGATCTTAGTCATATACATGATGTCAAGATCTGGTAGAACAGCAGCAATTAAAAGAATTGCATCGGCACCTTTAATACGAGCATAGTAGATTTGCCAAGCATCTACAACAAATTCTTTACACAGCAAAGGACACTGCAAACAGTGGAGTTTAATGGAGAAGTTGATAAATTATAGCTTGTATAACAAACTCTAAGCTAACCTGCATACCTCTACTCCAGCATTTCTTATGGCCTCGAGATTCTCAAAGCTTCCCTAATTGATCAAATGAAGTAATGTGTCAATTTAAAAGAGAAAATCATGTCTAAGCACATCCTGATTCACCAGTATGGTCTACAAGCAAATCTATGATGGAATATGACATTCCTCTGAAATACCAATCCAAAAGTGACGACTAATAAGAATGTAAAAATCATCATTTTCATATATCCTAATCAGCTTGTCAGGTGGATTTCACTATTTCCCATAGTCATTCATAGTACAAAGAGTACAAACCTTCTCAGAGTTTTGAAAAATGAAACTTTACCTGAAAATACTTCTCGTCGGTCAAAACACTAAGGCACGCTGCCCCACCTTTTTCATAAGCTTTGGCAATCTCTACCTGTCAAATAAACATAAAAAGTTTGAAGTAAAGGTCCATCTGGAACATTGAACTCACTTTGACGATGGTTTGACTAAAAGGAAAGGTTTCTTTGTCAACGACCATGAGCTATATGTGAGTTCACGGAGAAAATCCTATTTCATATTGGTAATAAAAGCCTGAATCGAATTTTGTTTATTTTCAAGTAAGTTCATGAGAAACAAATAGTAATCTCGCATATGACTTAAACTATGCCTTTTTGGTATCTGGCTCTTTTACTTCCAATATATATAGTTCCCGGATGAAGACCACATTTACAAGGAGAAGCAATTTTGGGGGCTGCAAGCATCCAGCGTAACTACTGAAAACTTGTGCTCGAGCAAGATTTCATTTGATTAATGATGCAGGACAAGATAAATGTAGCATTTTTTCCAACTTACAGGGTTGACAAAGAAAAGAAGTTTGGTTTGGAGAAGCAGACAAGCATTAGATCCGCTATCTCATTTGAAGAATTTCCAAGAAAGCAAAGATGGCCATTTTTAGCATTTGACTTCTCTAAATTTATTTATTTTTTTCATTTTTTTATAAAGTTATATTTGACTTTTTTTATAAGGTATATTTGACTGCTATATGTGGCTCTTCCAATGTAAAATGAAAACTAAAAACCAGCTGAAGCTAGGAAACGGGGATTCGACAGGCGGCTACCAATACAAATTGAAGATCTCTTTTACCTTGACATTGAAATGCATGGCGACCAATAATCAGTTTCCTTCTTTTTTTTCCTTTTTTCTTTTTCTGGAATGAGGTGGAAAAGAAACCTAGCAGACCGAATCCAAGCTTGCAACTAAAAAGTTTTGGGAACTGTTAGATCAGTCAAATATTTTAGTGCTTGAAATGGGTGAATCAATATGACAGTAGAGTCAGAAATAGTTAAACCTCTCTACAAATGCATCCTAGTGTTGTCAAAGGTGCGCTTGAAGCAAGGTGCAAAACATGTTGAGCGCTTCACATGGCTTAGCGGGCGCTTTAGTGACGTCATCAAGGCTCTAAGCATTATCCTGAAGAGTCCACACTAAACAATTGATATATCACTTTGTCAATTCTCTTTTCAATTTCTTTGTCCATATATTTGTTATTCATGCTTGAGGGGGGAGCCTTGGAGCAATGGTAAAGTTATCTCTGTGTGACCTATAAGTCACGAGTTCGAGTCCTGGAAGCAACCACTAATGCTTGCATTATGATAGGCTGTCTATATCACACCCCTTGGGGTACGGCCATTCCCCGAACTTTGCATGAATAAGGGATGCCTTGTGCACCGGGCTGCTCTTTTTATGCTTAAAATTCAAAGTCTTGGACTACACATACATATTTGGATTTTTTTCTCCATTTGCGCCTTTCTTCATAAAGCCCACGCTTTATTTGTGCTTTTCGCTTAAAGCCCCAATGGACCTTAAGTTTTTTTGCGCTTTTCGCTTTTGATAACACTGATGCATCCAACTGGATTTTGATCTCAAACTAATCTAGTGAAGGATAAAAAGTGATCATTCGTCATCTATTTCATTGTTACCTAATTGTCAGTTTATATTCTAACTTACATAAGAAATAGATCGCGAAGTTGTTTTCAATAATTTTAAATATATTTCACCAGACAGTTCAGATGACTTACAATTAAGTGAGATTAGTCAGTAAATTATATATATATATATATATATATATATATATATATATATATATATATATATATATCAGTAAATTTCGTTTCATCAATTTATCTTTATGGAGGATATAGATAAAATTCAATAGTTATTCCGTCACTAGATATCCTATCGTATAGCACAGAATTATGTCAAAAAGATGCCAAGTGTGTCGTTAATCTCTGATTAGCTTTCAAACCTAATTTCAAACATCAAAAGAAGTGAAAATTATAAAGGAACTTTCAATAAGTGTAGATCAAGAATACATGTCTAACAAAGTAAGATTTCTTTTTACGAGGGTGAATTTGAATGTTGATAAGTCATAGTGGCTGGGGCACAGTTCAGGAAGGTTCTCTGTTAAATCTTCTTATCAAGTACTTAATCAAACAAACATAATGACTGATCTTTGGCCATGGAAACACATATGGAAAGTCAAGATCCCTTGCAAAGTGGCATGTTTTGTTTGGTTGGTAGTTAAACAGGCATGTTTAACACAGGACAATTTGAAGAAAATGGGTGTGCAATTGTGCTCAAGATGTCATCTATGTGGAAGAAAAGCAGAAACTAATAGTCACCTGTTCTTACACTGCACGGTGACTGCTCAAATTTGGAACATATTCCTAGCTCTAACAGGGATACACTGGGTCATGCCAAATAGCACCAAGGACCTGCTGTCATGCTGGAATAAGGTGAGAAGAAGTGCAAGTGAGAAGAATAGTTGGGATCTGATTCCTGCCTGCATATGGTGGACTATCTGGAAAGAGAGAAATTCAAGATGTTTTGAAGACAATGCCAGCTTAACTCAGAAGATAACAATGAACTGCCACTATTATTTCATTTTTGGTGTAAACAAGAATACACAGTGGACACACAAGCTTTAATAGATGTTTTAGGGACTCTGTAAGAAGATAGGAATTTTAGTTGTATACTTTGGTCCATTCCTCTGTAATTATGGCCAGCACAGCCTTTGTGCTTCTGAATATAAAAATTGTTACCATCTCAAAAAAAAAGTAAGATTTCTTTTTATTTAATTTTACATGAAAGTAAACATCACACTTACAGGATTAAAATCTTCTCGAAGAACTCCTCTACTTGGAGAAGCCTTCTTCACTTCAGCAATAAGACCAGGCAATCCAGTTCTCGAATATGATCTTCTGAGAGCTCCTAGAAAATCTCTAGTAGGTGGAGCACTGCTAATAGCTTTCTTCAACGCGGAAAGAGGTGTCCTCTCTTTCATCTGGCAATCCAACCTCCAGTTTTAATTCATAGATACAGAAACAAAGAATGACTATCATAGGAACTCTCAGGCAGAATTTTGGATTTGAGCCTCATAGGTACCTGCAAAACTTCCTTGTCTTTGTACCATATAATTTCTTCTAGAATGTTGCATGGAGTATTGCCTTCATTCTCCACTTGAAATTCAAAAGGGCCAACATAGTGCAAAGGAGGTCCTGTTGGTGGCCTCCTCCTAATTCTTATACCCTGACTTGCAGCTATTTCGTCTTGCAATCTCTCCACTTCCCACTCCTTTATTTTGAGAGCATCTTCTTCAGAAATGGTGTCTTCAGAAACCACCGCAGATCCATCCTTCAATCAGACCAATTACAATGCATCTTAGAACTGAGCGTAAGGAGAGCAGCATTTCTCATGTATCCTTATGATGCTACCAAACAATCTAAAGGCCAAATGGCAATTGGAAATATTCAAATTGAAATGAAATATTAACAGGTATCAGCGAAAACTTTTATCGTTTCAGGTTAGGAGTCAATAAATAAGTCACGTGCAATCACAACAATTTGATATGAATTGTAGAATATAGATATCACCACCCGCATAAAAAAGGAGACATGATTTTTATAAATTCTAGGAAATCAAACAACCCGATGCGCAATTGATATGAACATGATTACAGAAATAATTATATCTAACCAGTCAGACTTTCTAAATCAGTCATAATGAATTGAAAATCATATTTTATCACAAAACTTAGTTGATATGCTTTTAAACAGACAATGTACGTAAGTTTATAGGATTTCAGTAAGCACCTTTATTTGTGAGACCATCAAATGTTTAAGTATATCATTCTAAGGGAGAGATATTGACAACAAAATATGAAAACCTTGACATAATAACCCTGCATATCTTTCCATATGTGAAAGCCTTGGTGAACAGAGTTACCCGGTACCAATGCTAGTGAGACGTAATAAGTATCTGGTGGATTTAGTTGAAGTGCGGGCAAGCTAGCCCTAACACCACCGCTATAAAAAAACACCCTGCAATCTTCTCGGGCCCACCTTCAGAACACAATACCATCCTAAGGGCTCAATGTGTGCGTACATAATTTTCTGATCTATACAAAGATTTTCTGATTACAAAATAGACAATGCTCCCTTTGTCCCATTTGTGTGACACTATTACTATTTGGAAGTCAAACACTTTTATCTTTTTATGTTGTTTTTAAAATCTGACCCTTGCTGGGTTCAGCAATGCAACCCATGAGGCCGACGTAGAAGTGAGCCTTGATACTCAAGTTATCCCCAGGAGATGGAGTTTCAAGTATCTGGGATTTATAATTCAAGGTAATGGGGAGATTGACGAAGATGTCGTACATCATATTGGAGCGGGATGGATGAAATGGAGGCTCACATCCGGGATCCTGTGTGATAAAAAGGTACCACCAAGTCTTAAAGATAAGTTCTACAGAGTGGTAGTTAGACCGACTATGTTGTATGGGGCGGAGTATTGGTCAGTCAAAAACTCTCATGTCCAGAAGATGAAAGTAGCGGAAATGAGAATGCTAAGATGGATGTATTGGCATACTAGAAAAATAAGATTAGGAATGAAGATATTCAGGATAAGGTTGGAGTGGTCTCAATAGTGGACAAGATGCAGGAAGTGAGCTGAGATGGTACGGGCATGTGAAGAGGGGGTGCACTGATGCACCAGTCAAGAGGTGTGAAAGGTTGCCTATGGAAAGTCTAAATCTGAGGAGAGGTAGAGGCAGGGCGAAGAAGTATTGGGGAGAGGTAATTAAGAAGGACATGGCACAGCTGCAGCTTACCGAGTACATGACTCTTGATAGGAGCGGGTGGAGGTCGAGAATTAGGATAAAGGGTTAGTAGGTAGACGCAAGGTTTCCATTTCATTTCAGTAGTATTAGTATTAAACTCACTCTCTCTTATTCTAAGATATTTAGTATTACATGTTGTTTGCTTCAGTTATCCTATTTTTTTGTTGTTGTTACTTCCTTTTCTTTTTTTCTCTTGTTGTTGTTGCTGCATCTTTTCCACGACTATTTCTTTTCAGCTTAGAATCTATCGGAAACAAACTCTTTAAGGTCTACGTACACACTACCCTCCACAGACCCCACTCGTGGAATTTCACTGGGTATGTTGTTGTTGTTGTTGACACTTGCTTCAAGCTCCGGGAGAATGGGCCTACCCGATGTGATCTACACTGTATCTCAACTGTCTATGTTGTGGAGCAAACACTGACTCAGAGGAGAAAGAAACTGCTTCCTGAAGTGAATTCAAGCTGGTGCATCATCAATAGAAAGAGACGCTCTACTGAATATTATAACAGTGAAAAATTAGAATATTTAGTATTTCCGCTACCTGTTCTGTTTATGCCAACTGCTCTGCTCTTTATCACAATATTTTTAATTTAGAAAAATTGTGAGTCATAGTGTTTTTCATATAGTTTCTACATTTGTAAAATTTTATTCTAAGTGACCAAAAAGCCACTATCCAATGCATACCGACAGATTACATGGTTTACCTCTCATACTCTGATGCGATACGAACCGGTAAGCGTTAGAAGTTGACAAATGAAAAGATTATTCGATCTTCTAGAGGCAATCATAACGCAATACTTACACAAACACAATGAATGCACGATTCAAGAAGCTACCTGTTGAACTCGAACGGGGGGACATTGCAGCGAAGAGCGAGCTCGATCAGTCCTGGAAATTCCGGCTGGAATTAACCTGGAGAATGCGAAATTCTTGGCAAGGGGTTGGAATGATAGCCTAGGTCTTGCCGTCGACGCTGCAGTTGCCGTCGCGGTAAAGGTGGTTCTCAATGGCACTACAGCTTCCATAACAATGTGTTGAGTGCGGTGGAAGTGTAGGGCCGCCGTACGGAGAGTGGGGGCGATAGTTCGGGTAATAGAATGGGATGGCGGTTTGGACCAGATTAGTTCGGGTCCGGATTATAACACTCTTTTTGGATCATTGTCACATATCCTTTTATAATGTACTAGCCTTGGTGTTTGCGTCATGTATTTATATTTAAAAAATATATAATTTAAAATTTTAAAACAATATTTTTGAATAATGTATTTGAGTTATAAAACAAAATTATATTATAAAATATAAATTTCAGAAAATAATAGAATATTGATCCCAATTAGTTAGATTGTCTCATGTAAATTTATTTGTGAAGGGTAAAAATGTCGATCAATACTTCGCGAAGGGCGCCCTTTTAGAGTACGCGAATTGTGTGTCTACCCATATCTGACATTCAATTCTTATGTGTCATTTTAAAAGTATTTTTTAGATTTGATGTTGAGCTAAAGTGTATCATAATTATGAATATAGAGTTAGCTTATATCTAATTATATATTTAGTATATAAATTATTCCTAATGAGAGTTGCACCTTGGACCTAAATTATTCCTAATGTAATTATTTTTTACCACTCAAATTGAATCTAAGGATTCACATTTCTCTTGTTCACGTTGGACCGAGTGGAACTTGCAATAGGATCGGCAGTTTGGAACTCTTTCTCGCATGTTAAATGCAATTTGGTGAATGCGGAATACTTACTTGAAAACTTAGTTGATTTATATAAGGTAACAATATTTATTATTTTGGAGTCCTAAATATTAGGACTTCATACATTCAAATGGGGAATAATTTAATGATCAAAATTTTAGTTGATTTTAATGTCCTAAATATTAGAAAATTGATTAAATTGACTATTTTATCTAGTGTAAACGCTATTTCGTGCTTTTAATATAGTATAGATAGATAGATAGATTATCGTTTTATGAATACAATATTTGAATAGATTGTATTGTTTGTTATTATTAAATAACTAGTATCTATAAACGTGCGTTGCACGTTACTAATGCCACATGATAGTTTAAATATTTATTTATATAAAGGAACAATAAAATTTAATTAATGAGAGAAAATTTATATATAATAATACAACAATCATCTAAGTGCCAAAAATATTGTTACATTAGCATAATACGTGAATTCAAAATAAATGGACATCATCAGAACTTACACAAATGATCAATTTTAGTCATGTTAAATAGATAATTATGTATTGTAGTTTAAATGTATCTAATGTGATGGTATCTTACCGAACACTTTTTTATAGACGATGTTTTTCTCTATATGTTTCCTTCTAGTGCTTTAGTTGCTCTACACTCTTGTTGTCGATATTGATATCTCTCTTGAAAGTGCAACATACAGTTATTCGTTTAAGAAAATATATTGTTGAAAATATAGTCTAATATTTAGGATGTTTGTTCTTGTGCTTTATTTATTATAACCACAAAACATAAACATACTGAAAATTATTTTCACACAATTTTAAATGGATATTCTTTTATTTCGGAAGACGAAAGTTAAATTCAGGGATAAAACACATACTTAGAAACACATTGACCAGTATCATAAGTTCTGCATGTATGATGTTATTGTCAAAACTTCTATATACCATATGTGTACTATTACATAAGCTATTCAACGGATCTAAATTTTCAGTAGCATGACGGACATATTTTTCTTCAAAATCAAACTATATGCAATGGAAGATCAATTTTAACTTAGTCTATTATATATATGGTGACACTAACATATATGAGAATTAATGAACTTGACAACAAACATGTACGGTAAAAGACCATTTGGTATTGAAGTATTTAAGTATTCTTCTTGGTTGTAATTGTTGGTATCTTCTTCTGCTGAGTTAAAACTGAAAAATATTTTATTTTTACCATAAAACTTAGCGATCAACCTTTTATTTTGTTGATCAACATATTCATTTCTGCTAGCTAAGATAGCTATTTAATTTCTATCATGTAAATTGCACAAATTGCGTTTTAATCTAATGATGAAAATATTTTCCTTATTAAATGCACTACTATTTCCATTGGGTTGATAATCAAGTGTTATAGAAGAACCAAATCATCTTTTATTGGATGATCTTTTTCGTTTGCGATACGAAGCAAGAAGTCACTAAATGTTGGATCTGTTCTTACTTTTATATTTCTTGTCATTTGAATATTTTTCAATTGAGGCCATAAGTATAATTTTGGCAAGTTAGCTTTTACAGTTTATGCTTTCGTCAATTTTGGAACTACTGATCGTACTTGACAAAAAATCACCTCCCAAACTATTAATTTTTCACCAAATGGTCCATTGAAATCCAATATATCTCTAAAACTCTGGGCGATTGTCTATCGTTTGATGCTTAGCCAAAGCACTTCATCCCATATTATCACTTTTGTTTTCCTTATAAATTTAGCACTATTGCTATGATATATTTGTGAAGGTTATTTCAGTTATTTGAAGAGGTATATCAAATCTAACGTGAGTTGTACGACCTCATAATAAAATCGTTGTTGGTACACTACTTATTCTTATTGCTAACAATAGCATGCCTCTTGATCTAACAATTTGCAAGTAATGCATGACATAGAATATTATTTCGATTCCGCCGAAGGCGTCTACAAAGGATAATCTCGATATACCAGAGTCGAGCTTATTCTTGTTCAAAATTTAGCTTTGATTGTGCTTCCTCAAACACTTGTATGGCCTTCTTAATATTATACTAATCTTTTTACTTTATGATCTATTTTTTTTAATCTCTAACACTCTTTTATGGAAAAAGTTATGTACCATAAGATTTTTTTTTAACTTGAAAAATAATATTACTCATATGATTATTCAAAAAATAATTCAATTGGATTCTTTTGCTAAATAATAATGAAAGATTTGATTATTTCGTTTTAACATAAAAAATAATTTATTTTCTATTAATTAAGATTAATAATATTAGTTCATCTCATGTTTGAATATTTAACCGTAATTATAGTTTTATCCATCATACATTTTATTTTTAAAGAGTAAAAATATCGATATGACATTCCACTTTTAGATCTTAATGTTTGCAATTAGTGGTATTGACTCGTACCAACCTTTTTTCTTTTCTTTCTCACACATTATATTCTTAAAAACTTTCTTAGTTGTTCTTTAATAATTAGGTATATTTTTTTATATTATACGAAAAATTAATAATAAAAAATATTATTTGAGTAGGAAAGCAGTTCAAATATAATATAATAATAAATTATCGTAGGAGTTTTTTCTCAATTTTAATGCTTATGCAGTCCGTTTAACATTACTTTTATTTTTTCTTGGTATGCAATAGAGTGGTAATGTATTGAGTTATTTATTAACGCATGTCTTTTCTTCTAAAAATTGGTTTCCTAACTATCCATCAAATCATTAATACCTATTTACTTTTTTTTTTTTTTGCGACGGAGGTAATTTCGAGATAATGAGATTGAATTTTAACACTACTGTGATTGCTAACTTGTAGTATTATATGTCTATGCCTGAAAGTAATTATATTAATATGATTCCTAAAGATAATTATGAACGATTCCTAATGTGTAGTATTATGTCCTAAAACTAATAGGATTGCAAGGCTAATATCTATAATTCCGGTTATATCCTTTTACTATAAGTTATTATGCTTAATATTATAAGGTTATTTTTGTAAACCGACATTGTATTCATACTTTTATAATAATATAGATAGATATATATAGATAGATAGATAGATATAAATATAGATAGATATAGATATTTTTATTATTTAATTCAACTGTATCGGCATAAATTTACTAAAAGATCTCCGACTTCGGAAAAACATGAACACTAGCTTTTTCATCAAAAGGGTGGCAGTAAAGCAACTTAATTACGTAAAACATAGGCCATTCTACACATATATCTATATCTATATTATATATTATTATATTATATATATATATATATATTAAAAACACGAAGAGCCTTAGCGAAATGTCGTTCGCTTTTTTTACCCCTTTAAAATAGAGTTCACATTGAATAAAATAGTCATTTTATTATTTTCCTAATATTTAGGAATATTCATTTACGTAGAAAGCCCTAATATTTAGCAATTTAATCTTTTCCTTATATAAGTCCTTCCTTATTTCAACTAGGTAGGAAATATTAATACTTGCTATAACTTTAAATAAATTAAACTAGGATCCTTCAACAGCGTTTACTTCTTAAAGCTTCGGTACTCTCTGTCTTCTGAGAAAAACTCTGTTTCTCATCACTAATATTTAGTACATATTTAGGAACACGATTTGCTTTCTTCTTGAGGAATGAATAGGTTGTGCCTCCCAATGATTAGCTAAAGAAGTGATTATAGACATATGGGTTTTAAATCCAAAAAAAATGCATGAAACAAAGGAGGCATCAAATAAAAAACATGAACATCACAAGTTCAAACGAAAAAAGTCACCTTTGACGATTCTTCCATGAAGATTATTGTTGGCCATTTAGTTAAATTGGAGGTTTTTTTACTCTTCATCCGTCTAATTTGTTTTGGCATGCTTTGCATCTTTGAGAGAAAATATATAAAAGCATAATACGTTAGGTAAGTTTTTACTTTGTTATGTTCTGTTTACCTTTTATATTAATTATTCTTATACGTACTTTAGATACAATTGTTAATATTTTGCGTAATAATTTATAATTATAATTCTTCACTGATAGTAGTTGGGTTGAATGGTGTGATTTTGTGTTCAATATTTTTGGATGTAAAAAGTTTACTTGTGACAGTTCCGTAGGCTTATTCCTAATTAGTTTCAATGTATAAGAAGATTTCTTCCAGTTGCTTAATTGAAGTCAAATTCCCTCGACAGCATTTGTGTGTTCGATATATGTTAAAAGTTATTTCTTGTGGTGTCGAATATTGATTTGTACCATTATATTAGTTATTTTGTTCGGTATGCATTCATCATATTTTGTTGTACAAAAATATAAATGTTACATTCAAATAAATGTAATAAAATTAATAGATACAAATTTCTAATACCTACGGCTATTATAATCTTTAGCACATCATCAAATTCTATAAATATTATCGAAATGATATGATAATTGCACGATAAAT